CTTTTTGACAAACACTGAATGAGATGGGGTTACATGTGTGCCCCTAACATCCATTTCCTCAATATGCTTCGAAGTGGAACAGTCACCTGGAACACGGAGAGTGAGACCCAGTCCCTAGCTCCTGCTTCAGCAAGTAGGACATGTCACAGGATGTGAAACAACAGGAGAGAAAGTAGTATCCACCTTCGGATACCCTCCAGCCTTGCCTCCTGAGACGTGTGGGTTCCAAGTCCCCCCATGCTCTAACCACAGCGTAAAAAAAGCTGCTTTCCTTTGTGTCTTCGGAAGAAAGGCCATCCTTGGTGAAACCTAAGCTATCCGCTTCCAGCACTATGTGCTTGTCCTTGAGGAGCTAATCCTAGGTGTTCCCTACAGGCCAGTGCCGTCAGCTTCCAGGTCAGCTTGCTTAGCTTTGTGGATCACATCTGAGGATCTAAGCATCCTAAACCAGGAAGCTTTGATGCTTCATTTGGATTCCTAACTTTTTCAGGGAGCCAGCTGCCTTAAATTCGGATATTTCAACATTAGATCCAGTTTAATCTTTGAGCACAACCCCAACCTCTACATCAGTTTTAGAAACACGCCTTCAGTTCCCAGAGAATGCCAAAAAATTTTGTCCCATGCCAGCGTTTAAAGCACCCCATTAGGGGAGAACCCTTTGCACCCCTCCAAGTCATTTCCCTGTTAAACTACCTGCACTGCTGAGAAGTGACATTATAGCCAGTCTAAATCCGGCTTCAGCTTTCAAAAACTGCATGATCTCTTCTTGGTACATGGTGGGTGGCAAGGATCCATCACTAGTTGGATAATCCATGTTTCTTGCAAGAAGCCTCCTCGTTTTGTCACTACGAAAAGATAACAACCCAAAAAAGAGCTCACTGTCCATTTTTACACCAGTTACTTGATGCAGGGGTACCCTAAATGCATGTGAGAGCTAATGGATGATCAACTTAAGTGTACCCAAATCCATGGGACAATGGCAGGGTGATTCCGCCTCCTCTCTCAACACCGGCAAAGGGGGAGGCACTGGCCAAGGGGTAGAAGAAGAGGGAAGGTGAGAGTTGCCTTGCAGTGGCCGCCTGAACTACCCTGAGCATGAAACCCCACCCTCGGCTAATTAATTGCACGCTCAGTGCCAAAAATCTATTCCTGCCCTACTAAGTTACTGCCATTTCAAACCATATTTTTCTTCCTCAGTTGTTTGGCAAGAGCGTTACGTTCCCAGCTTTAAATACAGCTATCTAGGGACTCCCAGAAAGGCATTTATTTTATTATGTTTTTCCTGTGGACTTTATTCATGAAGCCAGCAAGGATAAGAGCTAAAAAGCTGAGATTTGAAAGGGGAAGAGGGTTTAAATCAGAAATAGCCTTCCAAGGAATTTCAGTGAAACACCAGAGTCTGGACACAAAGACCAGAACGCAGATAGAATTTCCTTGGTGTTTACACTTTCATGTTTCAGTAGAAAAAACACGCTGCTTGAAACAGGCCCAGGATTTTTGAGGAGCTGATGGAAGTAATGGAGTGTGACGTACATAGCCGGGACAAGGAATCTACAGGAGGAAGCGAGCACAGTATCTTTAAGACGTTTCCAAAACCTGCAGAAGGCTGACACGGGCAATTGCCTGGGAACTGAAGCTACAAGCAAACGAAATAGAAGGCTGTTGAAGTCGTGGCGATAAGAGACTTCTGAGCTGGTGTATGAAGTGACCAGGCAATGCTGAGCATCCCTAAGGTATCCAGAGCTTGGAGTAAGCGTATGCTATGGGAACATGCGGTCGTCTTTGTGAAGATGTTCACACTAAAGCTTGAAACTGAACACATTTCACATGGAATGACTTCAGTGGGAAGAGAACAAAAACCTACCAGCAAACTTGAGCCTTTACAACATAAACAGGTACAGCTCCAAGGAAATCAAACACTGCTTTGGCAGGACGTGCAGAAGTCACTCAGCGTACCCCAGCCTCAGGGCAGCAATTCCCTTCGGAGCAGTGACTCTCAGGGTCACAGAGGTCTCACTACCTCTTCCAAAAGCAAGGAGTGACAGAAGCCTACGGTGGCAAACGATCTTTTCCCAGTGCAGAACTTGATACGGACACCAGGCTCTGACCGCTTTCGGTGCCGACACCTACCCGCAGTGGACCCGCATCGCAGCAGACGCCACTCTGACCAGGAGCACGTGCTGCTCTTGCTTGCCAAGTTCTACGGGGCAAGTTTTTGCTGAGTTTCTGGACAGATGAAGGCAGCCTCCGAGGGATCAGGGCCAGAGGTTGTTCTGTACACGGTGGTCCCAGAACGTATGCTGAGAGAGAAGAAACAGTGGATGTATGTGTTTGGGATGGATGTCACAGACTGAAAAAAACCCAACCACCCCCTCCCAAAAACCCAAGAAGTAGATGTGTTACTAAAGAAGCTGTTGGAATAGAAAATCGAGGCATTGAGAGATCTGCCAGCATCAGCAAAATCTCTGCCCCAGCTGCTGAGCGCACCTACTGACTTTGGATCAGGCTCTGGAGGGGAATTTCACCAGCTGCAAGAGTTATGAGCTTGTGAGACCCCATCAAAAAATGAACACTGCACATGAACTTCTACTGGTGAGCCTTTTGTTGGTTTAAAAAACCACTGCCACAAAAAACCCCAACCAACCAAAATCCATGGGGCGATATAGAATCTGTACAGTAGGTAACCCCATGGTATTGTAGGCTGAAGACAGCAATGAGACATAAATAGCCTTGAAGTAGAACGCGCTGGAAAATACGAAGAGATGCTGAGAACCAGCCGACAGGCAGCTGGTTAAGGCAGAGCGCTGCGGCATGGCAGGCAGGACCGAAGCTCTCCTGTAAAACTGTACTTTCCCGAGATCTCTGAATGTGCACAGGGTGGGAAATGCAGTTGCTTTATACCTACGTCAAGGTTCAAGCTGGTCTACAAGCCTAACTTCTGAACAAGACGGATGTGCCTCCTGCTGCACCCTGGGGAAAACCGATTCCTCTGCCTTCCCTCCTTCCTTGTGCTCAGGAAGGGCTCTGGGAGACAGAATGTATGAAAAACTCGGAAACTGTCAACACTCGGTGTCCAAGTTACGCTTAAATACAGCAGACCCCCACGGTACCTGTAAAGCATTCAGATGACAGGCCCTTGGAACTCCTAAGCAAAGGAACAAAAGGTTCCAAACACGGATTGACAGTGAGAACCTGGCAGAAACGTCTGCTTTGTTGAAAAGGAGGAGGGAGATGCTGTTCCCATCCCATCGCGCAGCGAGTGACGCGCGTGCACGTTAGGACAGTTTGCGGAAGTGGCACTTCCCCCCACCCGTTCTTAAGTCAAGTTGCTCTCTCGGTGGGAGAGACTTCCTTGAACGCCTTCGTACTACGGAGTAATTTAAGGAATGATCAGAGAGATAGATCCCATAGGAAAATCCTCTTGTCAAAATGTTATCCATCACCACGGGGAAGGACGGTAAGACCACCTTCTCCCTGAGAGACTGGCATGGATCTCCAGGGCTGTATTTACTGAGGCCACTAGACAACAGACAGTCAGGAGGATCTGACACTATGGAGCAGGAGCTCTGTCCATTGTAATCCATCAGGAGAGGGGATGCCTGTGAAACGGGCAAATACGAACTGTGCTGTGGCAGGAGAGGTACTACCAGCAAGAAGAGAGAAGATTAAACTATAATCGTGTACAGTGCGGTGGGGGGCTTCCTTAGGAATCTTACTACGGAATTCAGGTGTTGGGGAACAAAACAGATGCAGGGAAGGACTCCAAATGCAATCAGGAGTCTAGAAAGCTTTGACTTACAGAACAAAGGCTGAGAAGAAAACCCACCATTTTGGTCTATGGAGAGCACAGGAGGAAAAGGGGAAGAAAAAGGAAAAGGGGGGAAAGATTCAACCTACCCCACAGCTGTCTATGAGGAGCTGAGTAAACATCAGTGTTACCAGCACGCAGGCACGTATCAGCAGCACGTCAGCGAGGCATGCAATTGGTGTGGCAGCAAAGTTAAGGTGGAAACCCAACGGAGTTCATGTTCAGAGCAAAAGGGGTTTTCTTTTTTTAGACTCCTTTGCTTAGGAGAGATAAATTATGCATGCACCTGCTTTTAGTGCGCGAAGCCTGGTGAAGGGTTACGCCCGTTCGCTACTGTTTATCCACCTCCAATGTAAGCACCTGTAAACATTTAAAAAGACACTGATCAGGTAAAGCTTATAAATATGGCTCCAGCCAAACACATCTGTACAAACAAGTTCCACAGCAACACAGTTAAAGGGTAATAAAATATGGCGACTCAGATTTTTGACAAACATTTTATAATTTTTATATAAAAATCTCAGTAAGAAACCAAGCAGAATATCTGACTGAAACATCTGCCTTACAAGTTCAAAAAAACTCACAAAAGAAAAAGAGGAAAAAAAAAAGATAAAAAAAGTAAAATTCCAACCCCCCCCCGAATCCTTTTTAATTATAAACCAGAATATCAACAGAACACTTAAAATAATCTCAGATTGTTTGGCAACTCATCACATCATAACAAGAGACACATTTGATCATAAGAAAAGTTCAGCTTTATATACAACTTCACTTGAACATTTGCTCTCACCAGAGTTAATATACATTAAAAAAAGATTCTGGCAATAATACCAGGTTCTATTTTTAATACCTGTGTATAAAATGTAACATAAAATGCTGAAGCTCTAGAGTTAGAAGTGACATTTCATTTCAATGGGTCCCTCTTTGCTGAAAAAGACAAATACTGAAAGAACAGGTATTTAGTTGCAAAATAAAACTGCTTCCTTTCAGGGTAGCGTTGGCTGACTGTGAGTAAATCCGACCGAATACCATTTGATTTCTTGAGGTCGGTGGTAAATTCATGAGTGAAAATATAATCTAGGAAGATTACATTTTAAATTTTATACTTTGTCACAAACGTGAACAGGAAGGAGCCAAGTCCCTTTCACTATGCTAAGCTACTTCAACGCATGCGAGAAAAACACTTCGCCAACCGTCTGAGCGTGTTTTAGAGAACTTCAGACTTTAGACAGCTCTGGGGGAGCGGAGGGGACGTTTCCTACCGACATCTGCATAGAATGTAAAATATATAATTAAAAAAACCTAAGGTATATACTAAAGTTTACAGACCAATGCTTTCCATATAATAAATAAAATGTCCATCATTGATTAGATTCATACACAGAGTAAAATACAACCTATTTTTACAAGTTTATGTACACGTGTATTAGTAGGCCCGAGGGTGCCTCATGGGTTGGAAGCATCTGCATTAGCATGTCACATTGGGAAATCCCAACTTTCCAGGTCAGTGATAAAATATATAACTACTTTGTTTTTCATTCAGATACAAAGTAAACTTATTTTTTTTCATCTGAAATAAATGTACATAATATTCTGTATAAACAATAGTTTATAAAGCTGTTTAAAAGGTAACTTAAAAGTACTGCATTGATTAACTTAGAGCTCTGAAACAAGCACGTGCAAATCCCTTTGCTTTAAAAAAAATAGAAGCACAGATTTTTTTATTTTTTCTTCTTTTGATTCTTCCAAGAACAGTACTAGCTGGTAAACATTATCGCTTCATTTTCTTCAGTGGCGTCTCCTCCGTTTTCAGCTGGCCTTTTCTCCGTACCACTGTTGGGCTGTCTTCTCTTTTACGCTTGGCAGACTGCACCTTTAACCTGAAAAGCATTATTAATAGGTGTTTTAACATCGGCAGGACCTCTAAAACAAAAAGGCTGGTCAGGCACTATCCTGTTTAGAGGATGGAACTGAACTGTCCACCTCTGAAGAATATATCTACCAGGGCATATTCTTTAAAACCTTACTACGAAAACATTATATACCAGCACAGAGCACAGGGAGGCCTTGTGCACTCCCATCGCATCTTAACAGGGCACTGCGTACTAATTCTGCGTGTTGGAGAGTGCTCCACAGGCAGGACTGGGTCCAGAGCTCTCCTCCTTCGTCCTCTTTCTTTTGGAAAGACTTGTAGTTTGTTACAAACTACATGATCTTGTACCCTGTCTCACCAAGACAGAAGAGCAGCAACAGTGCCTTAAGTCTCACCCACACCAGAGGAAGTAAAGGGCAGACATCACGCACCCTGCTCTCTAGTTTAGCATCCACACATAAGCCCACCACAACTCTAAGTGTGGCTTAAACTCCCGGCCATTCATAACCACGCCAAGTCATTCACACGAGGTGAACTGTGACAGCTGATCTGTGCACGATACATGACCTCCCGAGGTTTGGTTTGAAGACATCGCCACATTTCGGAGTGGATGGCAACTCAAGGTGTTTGCCATATTACCCATTTTACAGGTGAGCTACAAGATGACTAGCAACTGTGCATCACGTTTTTTACTCCCGTGGGATTTTACACGGTGAGCTCAACTTTAAAAGTTAAAAAGTGCCAGGAAAGGAGGGAAAGGGAAATATTTTCAAAACTCAACGTAAGGACTCTCAGAGTTTCTCCTCTTTCATCAGCTGATCTCAGAAAGATCTCTGAAGCATCAGAATCACATCATCATGTGTTGCTTTAACCTTACTACAGCTGCTCTTTCCCCGACTCAAAGAGCCACAGCTCGAGTTAAGGTACCGCCTAACAGCATTTTCAGATTCTCCCGAGGGGTTTCTAAGGATGGAAAGAAAAAATTCTAGTATTGTAAATGGTAAAGAAAGGAAGGGAAAAACCCCAACCACCCTGAACAGAAGAAAACCCTTTAAAAGCTTTTATATATCACAAGAGAACAGAACAGAGCAAAACTAGACTGCTGTTCAGATTTTGAAGCCCTGTATTACATAGAAGGAAAGGATCAGTGTAGGGGCTTCCAAAACAACCAGCAGAAGTGGATTCAACTTTAATACTTACTGTGTCAGTGGAGGAGATTTATTAATTTTTGTATCACTTGGAGATCTTTTTTTTGCTGCTAGGTTCTGTCGTTTTCTAGGAGAAACTGAACTTGGACTGCTGCCTTTAGAAGTTGCACGTGTGGTTGGCTTGCTGGGCTGCTTTCTGTAATACAAAAGAATGATGAATGTATGTATAACAAAATACTTTCCCCAAGTTGCTTTCTTCTTGTGTTCCAAGTGCAGAAAATTAAAAGCGCACAGTATTCGCAACAAGTAAATCAAAGTTGCCAAAAGAAACAGTGAAAAGACACATTTGCATGCTTCAAGACACAAACTGCAATTCCAAACTATGTATTTTCATATCAAATGCAGAATCAGAACACTACTTTACTGACAATATATAGTACGTATGAAATAAAAATCCCAGTTACAAATCTGCAATAATTCTGGCACGTAAGTGTCCATGTTTAAAAAAAAAATAGCTTGTGCTATCAGCAGAGAAACAAAAGCAGCAGAGGTGAAGAGGCTGCAGAAGAAAAGAGAATGTGCTTATCTGGTGCAAAGATAGAACTCATCCTAGCTTCAGCATCCACCAGTTCAGAAACATGAGAATCTGGTTACTGGCAATCAACTTCACAGTTTGGAAAACAGGTTACTTAAGTCAGAACAGAACGATAATCCCGCAACGCTGAAGATGAAGAAGCAGCCCCTTCCACAGAATTACTCCCAAACGCTACTTCAAAGATGACGACTGTTTGCAGCACCTTAAGATAGAGCTGCTCTGTTTCAGTCAGAGCAAGAAGGTCAGCATTGGAAATCTGAGACACGAAACACACATCTATAAAAAAGCAGATGTTTCCACAAGCAGTCAGAATGCAAACACTAATATCTAAACTTTTATTACCATTTTAGAGCTAACGATTACGTGAGACTGAAGGGAGCCCCTTTGCCTTTGCCAAAGCAGAGCTGTTGGCGGAGTGGTAGTGGTAGATGTGGCAGTTTTTATTTAAATGAAGACTACACAACTGCTTTCTGATTCAGCTCTGAAACCACATATTCAAGAGCGTACTATGAGCAGTGCTTCCAGTAAGTCCCAAGGGCTAACATGCAACATGACATCCTTCGGAATGAAGCAAATGCAGTAAGTTTACAGAAATCTCAACATGAACATAAAAACAAAGCCTGGACTCCATTTCTGTTCTGGAAGGCAGCAATATAAATTAAAACTTCCCAAAGCTGATACCTCTCTCTTTGCTTCCACAACAAAGCCAAGAGAATGAGCTTTGCTATAATTCAGTTTCCCTACAAGAAGGCAGACCTACGCTAAGGGAGATGAAAAACGGTTTCTTGAAAACACAACTCTTTCTACCATACTAGTCTCTTCCAGGAAGATTGCCTTCGGAGCTTGCACATCACCACACTAGAAATTAAATCCTCCAGTGCTGCGGATCCTTGAGTTTAACTTGGATGATACTCGGGAAAAGATAAGAGACATGGGAAACTGTACTTTCACCTTATTCCAACTGCAAATATCAAATGGTGAATTGCACAGTCAAGTCAGACGTCCCTTTTTACTCATCAGAATTACGTGACCTTAGACCCACCTTCTGAGACACCACTAGGATGAAGACTGCCAACAGGATCAGTTCTTACCTTCTGACATATTCAAGTATATCTTTTGACACCCTAACAGTTTCCCTACCTCCCCTTTTGTCTCTTCAACCCCAGAAGAGTGGTACTACAGTCAGAACCAAAATTAGTTGGGAAGCTCTCGTCAATTTAAACCCTCCCCTCTCTAAACAAAACAAAACCCAAAAAAGAAAGAAAAAGAACAAGCAACAACAAAAAAACCCCACAACAACTGAGAACCGGGTAAATAAAACCTGCTGTCGGTGTCTCTACACACAGTTACCTTTGAGCCTCTAATCTTGTGGCTGATCTAGTTGTGGCCCCAGAATGCGCTTCATCATCTTCCTCAACATCATCTTCCTCACCCTCCTCTGTCTCTTTCAGTTCATCTTCAGAAGACGTTAATTTCCGACGTTTTCTCTCTGGCTCCAGTGTTTCTGCCCATGTAAAATTTTACACATGTGCTATAATTTTCCAAAAGCCCTCCAAAAGGATATGGACACTTAGTTTAGAAAAGGTATTCTATTCACAAATCCCATTTTAAGTAAGTAATTTTCCATTTCCTTTATGCTTCAACGTTTTTAATTCACACTTGTTTGACTCAATCTTGCTAACACATTCACAACAGTTTACTTATGCAGCTCATAGCCAGAATTCATAGAAAATTCATGAGGCTCTATAGAAGCATCTGGGATGTAGCAATTCTGACATAAGATTACAGCAATTTACACATATTTACATAATATTTACACGAGCTGTAACTCAATGATTTTTCCTGAAGAAAGGAAAATTGAATAAAGCTTATCTTGTTGCTATTGGTAAACAGAAAGGCACAGTAATGTCTTCTCATTCTGTGAGGAGTAGCACAGTTTCATGTTTTTACCAGTTTCTTCTGATGGACCCAGAGAACGCCCTGGCTTTCTTCCCCTTTTACGCACAATCATTTCTGCTTTCTCAGCTTCATCCTCCTGAAAAAATAAAACAGAAGCGAGTAAGGCAAGAACAATTTAATTTAATCAGAATACAGACATTTTTCATTACATATAAACTTACAAATTAAAATGGTTGCACTTACATTTGTTGTTTCTTTCTTATTAGATACGTCTGTACCTAAAAAGAAAGGACAAAACTTAATCCTGAACTTCAAACCTTTTGCCAATCAGTTTAAAAAGGAGTTCTTTCAAACTCTGTCAGCTCTGCATAAACACCACAGCTCAGAAAACTTTTAAAGTCTCTATCTAATTTAGAATACGACTTTGTTGTATTTTCTTATACACAGAGACTGGGACAATGAATGTTTTTTTAACTGACGTTAGTTATTGCTTTGCTGCAAATGTGGTTTTTTTTTTTTTTCTAAACAGAAAAGCAGAAGTTACTTACCCCTTTTAACTACTGTCAACCAATTACAGAATCCCAGAAAAATCTAGCTTGGTAGGGGCCTCTGGAGGTCGCGTAGCCCAACCTCCTGTTCAAAGCATGGCTAAATTAATCAATCTTATCACGCTGCTCGAGATCATCTTTAATCCAATTTTGAAAGTCTCCAAGAACACGTTCCCTCCAGGCAATCTGTTCTAGTGCTTAACTGCATGCCCATGGCAAAGCACCAAGAAGCTCAAAAAGACAATATTTAAAACCAGTCTAGTACCTGGTATGCAAGTTACATGACTTCCTCCATTGAAGTACTTCTTACCTTCAGTTCAGTACTTCTTACACGCTGGTCTAGGCACGTTAAAATACATTTGTAACCATGTGACCCATGTCTCAACCTGGTCTCTCTCTGTGGTAGATGCTTACCACTTCTACCCTGACTCACTCGATGGTAACAATGATTATTTGACAAAGCTTTTCAGCGTTGTCAAATGTCATTATCTGCAAAACTGCAAGGACAAAAATCCTTAGGTTGCTTCTCGTCTTGTATTGCTAAACAAAAGCAAGTTTTTATATCTTTTTCCCCCCTGTCATAAAACTGCTGCCTATTTTTGTGTTCTGAAAGCTACATAAGAGACAACACAAACTCTCAACTCATCACTGATAAGACTGATAGAACAAACAGAAGAGTATCAATGCAACAGATAAAAACTAGATCTCAAAGAACACAAACATATTCTAAAATTCACATACAAGTTTTCTGGAGTTCCTTCGTTACGGTTACACAGAAAAACTTTTACACAACAGCAAATGAAATAAAATGCAAAGATGTTTAACTATTCAATGAAGAAATGCAATAAAACATAGGACTGTCCACTGCTTTAAGTATTTTACACAAAGTTAAGCGTATTGGGTTTGCGTGGCAGTTTTGGTAGCCAGGGGACTACAGGGGTGGCTTCTGCGAGAAGCTGCTAGAAGCCTCCCCGTGTTAGCCGGCTCCAAGATGGACCCACCGCTGGCCAAGGCCGAGCCAATCGCAGTCATAATGCCTCTGGGATAAACATGTTAAGAAGGGGAAAAAATGACAGAAGAAGAGGGATCTTTGCAGACAGAGAGCGAGCAAGATGTGAGAGATTCACTGGCAGGGCCGGGGGGGCGCCACGGTTTTTTTCCGGGCGCCCCGTGGTGCAGCCCATGGGGAGGCCGGCTGTCCCCTGCAGCCACGGAGGGTCACGGGGGAGCAGAGACCCACCTGCAGCCCCGTGCGGATCCCACGCCAGAGCAGGGGGATGCCCGAAGGAGGGTGTGACCCCGTGGGCAGCCCACGCTGGAGCAGGCTCCTGGCAGGAGCTGTGGCCCCGTGGAGAGAGGAGCCCAGGCTGAAGCCAGTTTGCTGGCAGGAACTGTGACTCTCCCTGGTCCAGCTGAGGAGGCGAGTGATAGAGCAGCTTGGTGGCCAGCTGCCTCCAGCCAGGGTCAACCCACCACAGCACATCTAACGTATGGCCAACATTTATTAGCTCTGTTGTGTTCACTTCCAATTCTGGTATGTTTCGGCAAATTTGTAGCAAAATGATTTTTGATTGACAAATACTCCATGTAAGTACAAGAAATGCCTTTCTTAACAGACACAACCCTCTCTTTAGGACGTGAAAGTATAGTACTTTTGCCTCAAGATACGTAGAAAAATAATAAGCTATAATATTTAAAAAACCTTAAACACGAGGTTACAGCAGCAACCGCTGATTGGTGTGGAATAATTTGTTTCAGTGCAGTGTCAGTATTATGGGAGGATGCTGCCCTCAGAAACCAGCTGTCTCTGAACTGTAGGAGTTGCACCGACTGACAGGAAATTCTCTGCTTCCCACGCTACAGGGAAGTCTGTCCCCATCCCAAACCCTTGTGCAGAACAGCCCAAAATTACTAGAACAAGTGAACTGCGCAGGGGCATTCCACTGTTTTCTTTCCACTGCCAGGTGTTTTCAACTCCTTTTCTCATATGGATGCTAACATATGATGAGAAGTTTAACTGTGTTAAGTGGATGAAGTATCCTCTCTCTGCAGTACCACTGTGACATCAGCCGCTTTTTACCTGGAAAACTAAATGTTACTTAACACAGCAAATTACCTGTTAAGTGTCTGGTTTTTTGAATGAAAAGCAAACCAGAAGGCACTTTTAACACCCTTCTCGCATTCTTATCTGTTTTCCTTGCAGCTGAGAGAAATCAAGTACCACACAACCAGCTAACCCTCCCAGACACAATTCCGAAGCATATGGATTAAAACTGCCGTTTTAACAAATGAGGAGAAAATAGGAAATAGTCCATACATGCAGTGCAGCCAGATTAATATCTCTGTAGAAACCCAAAGTTTTGGAAACTCCAGAAGATCTGTTTTGAAGACTCGTTTTCCCACATTTGCGGCATGAATGTTTGTATTTGTTTACAAACCATTTTTTAATCTGCCTTTCAGGTTCATCTGCTTCCTGACTGCATTTCAAAGTCTATTCTATGAATGGCCATAATGAAAAAGACACATTTAAACAACAGATGTCGTTCAGCCTCCACACACGTGAAAAATTAACTAAACCATCTAAAATTCAAAGTCTGACCTCTTACAGGTCACAGATATTTGAACAGGAAAAAGAAATAGACAAGTATCTCACTTTATTTGACTTTACATTTAAGCACTGAAAGTATATTTTTGAGTAAAGTTAAGCAATCACTTCCTCAAGACCTTACAGCAGTTGTGAAAGGGGAAAGACATATCCCCTCATGCTACCACTATGCTCTTTAAACACATTTTCACAGATAATCCAATTATCTGAAGAAAAATTGAGTATTTTTCCTACATGTATTTTAAAAAAATTACTGTAATAAGTGTGATTGATAGCTGCTGTATAATAGAAAATAAGCAGAAATGGAGAACAGACACTAAGAACCAGTCTGATGGGGTACCCACCCATCTCTGAAGCTCTGCCATGTGCCTACCACCCAAACTATTTTGTATATTCTGCAGTGCATTATTCAGCACTTAACAATCCTGCTGCATCTTTGAAGCAAATTCTTATCACGCTGCTCTTTTTTAACATTAAAAACTCAGTAGGAATGAGGGACAAGTCTTCGCTGTTCTGTTTACTCAGATGTTTTCACACACTGATAATACTGACTGCCAGAGATGGTATTTAGGAAGGACCCATGTGATTTTCTTGAAAAACCTCTTCTATTTCTTCCATCTTCCATTTCATTTGTTAAAGAAGATCTAATTTGCTTACCTGTTTGAGGTGTTTTTCCTCTACTCGCAAAGATAGGAAACTGCAGCTGAAATAAAAAAAAAGTGGGTGTTTTAATTAAAGTCAGAAAAATCCAGGGTGGTATTACATAAGCACAGAAACTTGCTCCCATTCATAGAATATATCTGCAAATCTAGAAAACATGAACATTCTGAGGAGCATACAGAAAGTTTGTACAGAGTTTAACATAACAGTTTGCCCATTCATGATAAAAATTTGAAAGGGGTCAAATCGGCCCACAAACAAAGTCATAGCAGTTTCAGTAACACGATTGACACTAAAGCCATTGCAATAAAAGACAGAAGTTAAAAGCAGTTTCAGTTAAATAGACTTTTGAAAACTTAAATATCAACAATGCAAGAAAAGTTTAGTGCAGTCACTTTATGTAATCACAAATACACAGAATTATAAATCAACAGAATTTTATATTCACCCACAATGCAGAACGAGCTATGTATAATTATGTAATCTCCTACGATGACTGTCAAAAACACCCAGATGCTTTCATCACTGAACAATGACACTAGGATGCCAATGCTTCGAGGCAGCAGCATGTTCTCAAAGCAGCGCAGGGGAAACTGCCATGTAAAGACAGTACCTCACTGTACAGGACCATTAACTCAGATGAAGACAGGTATGGCTCCTCCTGGAGCCAGCCTGGGACTGACTGACACTCTGATCAGTCATCACTAAGAGGTACAAGACCTTCAAAATAATTGAACTAGAACAAGATGATTTTGTTCCAGTACTGAGGATGTCAAGGTATTTCTAATTAATCCCCCCCTAATTTTGAAGGGGATTTAGAAACTGATTTTAATTCTTATTTGGAAAAAAACCAAAACAAACCAACCAACCAAACAAAACCCCCCACCAAACAAACAAAAAACCACCCCCAAACCCAAGAAAACCCAAAACCAAACAAACCAAAACCCCACAACTAAACCAAACCCCACCCCAACAACAAAACCACAAAAACAACCCCCAAAAACCCTGAACACCAAAACCCACACCCATTCAATTTACATTTCATCGAATTAATACTGGGGGAAAAAATGCTTAGGAAAGATTAGGAATTCTGAAACAAAACTCCACCAGGCTTGTAGAGGGGACAGGATTCAAAGGGCTGTCCCTGCAGTGTTACAGGCAGAACAGGCAGGGTCGAGAATTCCTGCTACCTACAGCCTAGGTAAACTCCCAAAACTTCTGACACTCATGCCAGCTGGTGCATCACCAGGCCAGCAGGCAGAAAACATGAGTTTCAATGCAGCTTTGCTTTTAAAATCGCCTCTTTTCTATGCAGTAACTTGGATTCTGACATACAGGAATTTCCAACAGAGGAGTCTTCCAACAGATTAAATCCAACTAGTCATACTCCACAAATATGCCTGATCCATTACTATGCTGTGCTGGAATCCCACTGCGGTACAGAAACCCTCCCAACAGAATACTGTTTTAGCAGTGAACATATGTCACGTGGGTTAAGAAATGAATATACTCCTGAGCTTTAAAAGATCTCTTCAGTTACTAACCAGCATATGTCTACCTTTAGAATGAACTGTAGACATTGTAATACGGGTAATACAACTGCATTACACAAGAGTTACCATCAGCAATTATTATGACACGTTCAGTGGTGAAAAAAGACCAAAATCCCAAGTTTTTGAAACAAAGTCACCCTTGAACTTCAGGCCAAAATTACTCTCAGCATCAATTAAGAGATGTGTGCACACAATCAGAATTTCACCCTAAGTAAAAGTGTTTGCTACCCCACGTAACGCTTAGATTATGTTGTACAAAGTTTGATCCTGTTGGGTTATTTGCTGTTTTCAGACTTAAAGATATATTTTGCTTACAAAGTTGAATTATATTAGTAGATATTACTAATAGTTTTTGTTTGCTTAGACTGAACTCAATTATCAAGTTCTTCGTAAGATGTTTCTGAAATACTGTTAACTGTTAAACAGATAAACGGCTTGTTACCGTGTTTAACCGCACCCAAACAAAATAAAGGCACTTACATTCCCAGTGCTCATATCAGCTTTTGACTCCCCACCTGAGGGAAGAAATATGAATTCAGAACTTGAATGTCACTATTTTCCTCGTTTTCCCACACAGGTATTATGAACAACTTACCACCAGGCTGTACAGCTTCAAGAGGGTATTTACGAGGCCTTCCCCTTTTCCGCTTCACTATTACAGGTTGATTTTCCTATTAAAAGTGAGGGATAAAAATAGTTTAGTTACTGTAATTGACATCTAGCATTTGAGCAATATAACACAAAGATGGCTGCTAACTTCATAACACGATAGTAGCAGTAGTGCTTGTCAGTTTAAAAATGTAGATGGGGCAGGTTTCACACTGCCTGCTGTGAAACCTACTGATATCGCTGAAAAGAAACAAGACAACTCCCAGTTATAAAAAATTCTCTGTGGCTGGCCTCAGACACAAAGCATATTTAAGAACACTGTGCCTTCTGCCCCCTTTCCCACAACAACTCTTGCTGCTGGCTTACCCTGTATCTCCCACCGCACCTTTTCAGTTTTATGAGAACGCCAAGCTCTGTACCTTCTGAGCCCTTTTCCAACACCATATAGCACAGACTACATCTTGTAAGAGTTGAGCACGTGCTATTCAACAGTCAGTATCTTAGTTATCCCAATACACACATCGCTGACATTCTCCGTATTAGCAGGGCCTTTATTAAAGAAAAGGACCCTTACTTTGAAGTTAAAGTTGTCATTCAGAACTCGAAGTAACGAATACGGTCAGATGTTCAGATTACAAAATGGCCAGTAATAGACTTTCTCCTATTTACAAGGAAAGAAGGCTAAGTGCCACATGCAGCATTCACTGAAGTCTAGTGGTGTCCCTCTGCAAGGGATCTTAGTGACCCAAGCCTTGCGTGAAGAAAAGTAACAATTTATTTTTTAAAATTTCTTCCACTTCCAAATTAGAGGCAAAAAAAGCAAATGACAAAACCCAACGTGTATTATGAGAACTGTGTCCATTTCTAGGGGACAGCAACAATTTTAATCTCTAGGGTTCAAACATTTGCCTACAACCACCACTGCAGAGTATCACAAGTATATGCCTAAGAGATAACAAAGTTCTAACACTGCTGAGTGATAAGATTTTTGTAAAGCCAAGTCGTATTTGCTAGTGACTAAACTGTCCACATCTCAATTAAAAGGTTTTTCAGAAAACATGATTTCTATACAACTCCATAGTGTCTTTCTGTACAATTTATTAAGTACTATTAAACGTAGGGAGTTACTTCTACTTCAGCAATCAACCACTGATGTCTTACGGTCTGAGTTTACACTTTGTGACACAGAACGACGTGAGTCTCTTGTGCTGCGAAGTACATATGTTTTCACTGCTATTTCTCCGCTGAAGTCTTAATACTGCTGTCAACAGACTACAAAGTACTTCTCTTCAGTGCGAACATGCATTATCTCAGTTAGTTAACATAAGACCACCTACCTCTGGAGAGTTTTCATTTGATTCCAGACCATGCTTTTCCTTTTCAGACATTTCCAGCTCAATGGTAAATTCATCTTCACACATACAAAAGAAAAAAAAAAAAAAGAGAGAAACTGTACACCTTTCTTTTATTAGGCAAAGGTACGAGCCACACTCTCCACACCAAAAGCATTATTTCATTCTGTAGCCCAAAATTCCCTAGAAATTAACAGTATTTGCCTTGTAGCAACAACATATTGGTCTGCCAGACTGCTTCCCTAACACTGAATGAGACAGACAGGTATTTTAATTTAAGGAAAAAAATGAAAAAAGCTCAAGAGTGTGACCCATTGTAAAATAGTTAGATAAATACAAGCCACTATTCAATTTTCTCCATATTCCATGAAACAGAAAGCTGAGGATACAACCTCATTGCAGAACAGTTTCAAACCTGTCAGCATGCTAACCACAGAGATAAAACTATGGAAAGGTCAAACTAGCATTAAGGAAGATACTCACTTTGTTCACACAAAGACAGAAGTTACATCAAAGCCAATATTAACACTGCGGACACATCACCTTTGATTATTTTAGTGCAGTTAATAAGTCAACTACAACAGTGCTTTTTTTTTTCCTGATTGGTTTCTCTACAGAAACAAACAGGACTGATTTGGATGGTGATTACGTCAATCCTTTTCATGAAAGAACATCTCTTTTTTTGTGGTCAGAGTTAGGAGAAGTTCTTCTTGTCACATGTCTGTGATGGTGCTATTTTCCAATCTGCCCGTTTATTTGCAATGGGCTCTCCTACCCGAGTTACATACAGCAGCACAACTGAGTGGGTGGGTGACAGCACACCAGGAACATCAAATCTACTCTCCCCTGTGCTGAAACAGAGTTAATTTTCCTCACAGCAGCTACGATGAGGCTATGTTTTGGATTTGTGCTGAGAAGAATATCAATAGCAACAACTAAACCCAATAGTGTGTTAAGCAATGTTTATAGCAAGTCACGGACTTTCGGTTTCTCTTACTCCCCTGTCCTCCCAGCTTCTTCTCTACAAGAAGCTGAGGGAGGGGACACAGCCAGGACAGCTGACCCAAACTGACCAAAGGGACATTTCATGCCATAAAATGGCATGCTCAGTATATAAGTTGAGGGAGTTGGCTGGGTGTCAGTCAGCCAGTGGCGAGCAGTTTTATAATGTTTTTTTCTTCCCTTTTTCCTTTTTATTTTATTACATGTTAATATTCTCATTAAATTTTATTGTTGTTATTAGTAGCAGTATTAGTATTATTAATACCTTTGTTTTATTTAATTTACTTGCAATTATTAAACTGTTGTTATCTCAACTCCTAAGTTTCCCTTTCCTCTGATTCTCTTCCCATCCCACCATGGGAGCGGGGAGGTGAGCCACTGGCTGTGTGGTGCTTAGTTGCTGACTGGGGCTAAACCACAACACACCATCAAAGGAACTAGAATTAATGCATTTTTTGATAGCAGTAATAGAACAGGCAGCAACTAGAGCATATATGGAATATTTGCTGGGATTAAGCTCCTAATTTCTCTCAGAATCATTCAAATGGGAAGAAATCATCATTCAATATAGACTCAGAAAATTGCCCAGAACAGACTGTTTCATTACCTTTTTCTTCCATAGCACTTCTAGGAGGTGTATGCTTTACATCAATTTCTTTGGACACTTCTGCTCTATCACCTGAAATATCTTCCTACATTATTTTGAAACAACAAAGAAAAGAGCATCTTACTACAAATTTAAGATCACTGTCAGTTACTTATATTAAAAAAATCCCCACCCCCCAATATACAAGTAGTTATTTTAATCATCAAGATTTTGTAGTGTCTCTTAAATTATGCTGAAAAGCTTCACCAAAATAAATGGGTAAGATAGTCCCCCACATTCCGCATGTACTCTTAAAAAGAACATCTATTTTGTCCTGAATTCCTGTTCTGACTTAGAAGATAGCAGTGCAAACCCAAAACTCTGGTAAAGTCCGACACCCTCTTGCAGATCTCAGATCAGTATGACCATGAAGATGCTCAACTGACTGGACAGCTGGGATTCAGCAACGCTCCACATGATCCCAAGCTCCAACCTAACTACCGTGCAAATCTGTCCACCACGCCTCAAGGGATTCAGGGGCTGTGCACACCAACACTGACCCTTGCCTTTTTTTTTTTTTACACCCCCCTCCCCAAAAAAGTGAGTACCATTCTACAGTCAGTTATTTTGTATTCAAGACAATGCAAAAGTAGCTTACAGTTAATAATGAAAGTGCCTCCCAAAATAAACTGCTATAGAAATAAAACTGTAGGCTTCCACCTTATTTGCATTACAATTGCAGAACATTAAAAATAACTGTTCTTGAAAATACCTTGATGTTATCAGGTTTCGTTTTGGAACACTGACTTTGTTCATCATCTTTCCTCACATCCTGAGCAGTCAGCTGGTTGCCTGCAAAAACAAACAACAGTTCAAGTGTTAAAACACTTTACCTTCTGCATTTGTCAGATTTTGATGCTGCTTTTACACCAGCGCATCACTAGTGCGATCCAAAAGATTCTGAAAAGCAGTATCTTATTTACAAAAGTACTAGCAGTAAGTTATGCTAACCCTTCTTCAAAAAAGGGGAAGACAAAACAATGGCAAAAAATCCCATGTTCCTTGTATGTTATGGGTGGGGTTATTTGCTTGTTTTTAAAGCTAAGTTCAAAACTGAATTTTGGCAGGTACCACATCAAGAAATAAAACATCAACCTTAACTTCAACTCACCCAGAGACAAAGAAAGTAGTTAATGCTACATGGGACACTAATGAATACAGCATGGCTTTTAATTACTCACTGCATCAAATCAAAATTCTTTGCAATAGAATAACATTTCTTTTTTAAGTAAGAGTTTTTATTAATTCTCCTATTGTTTTTAAATTGTTGTGATGCTAAAAAGACAAAAGCAGTTGAAGGCAGAACTCAAACAGATATTATACAGCCAGTCTCATAATAATTACATCAACAAAACATCCACCTTATTTCCAAGTTAACTTTGTCTAACCTCAGAATGTTTATGCCATTCAATGGACTGACTTCCTTCTCACTTTTTGCTTCTAGACAGATAAAAGGCTACACTAAAACTGAGTTCTTTCCAATTTAACAGAAGCATCCAGCCTCACAAAGTCTATTACATGCCTAGATTTTCCGCTGATGATCAGCTTCCCAAATTAACATTCTATGGCCCAGTTGCAGTTGTGTCGCAGCAGCCAAGCTTTACACAAATGCATGTAGTTTTGTATTACTTACATATTTCATTATCCATTGTTCCTGAAGATTTACATTGTATTCCTTTAGATCTATGTTCTTCAGTTATCTGGGTATCCAAGTTTTTCACCTACACATAAAATACACAGAAAGGTAACTCCCTACCTCTTTTATCCATGAAGTTTATAAACACAGAAGAAAGTTTTTCCTTCTAGCTACTTTCAAGTACAACATGCATTGAAATGGAAAGTAGCAGTATTACAAAAGCAATTTACTCCTACATCTCAAGTAATGCTACTTCTTCAGGACAGCACCATGAAAGAACTTCTGACTTGTAGTATTTTCAGAATTTCTATGTGATGTTTTTAGTGAAAAAGTCTGTTTTAATTAGGCACCCCACTATGTTCTTTAAAAGCAGTTTACCACGACAATTCAACCAAAACATTTCTGGATTTAAAAGGAGGACACTCTCCTATATGCAGAAAGAGAGTTAGAATCTCACTAGCACCAGAAACATGGCCAAACAGCATTTCGGTATAGTAATAAATACATTTACTACTCAAGTTTTAAAAACCACAAACATTTTTTTTAGCTTGTTCTCTCTGTTAAATGTTTTGTTTCTGGTCCACAAGAAACACTTTACATTTGCAACTTTCCCAGTCATCCTTTTTATATTTGTAAGCTCCATGTTCTTAAGAAATCCCAGTAGACCGCATAAAAAGAACAGGTTTCTAGTCCTGATCAAAGCCCCAAGAAAAAGTCCTTGTGGAGGACACTCAAGCTTCTCTTTTCCATCAGTTAACAACAGTCCTGAAATAGCCATAGACTGCTGAATAACAATACAAGATTTATTTACTTGTAAATTTGAAAGAATAATTAGGCATGAACCTACCAAGCTGCACAGTCTCAATATACACAGGCTCCACATGTACCAAAATAGTATTTTCCTTTAGAGAATATTCAATGTAAATAGAAGTAAAAGCAAGAGTGAAAAAAAAAAAAGCGCAGCAGACTTGTAAAAACAATGAACTTACATGAAGAGTTTCTCTTTCTAAAGCAATATTCCTCTGCAACAAATCTAATAAGAATAATAAAAAAATAATTAGAAAAGCTAAGCAAGAGCAAAGTACTACAGTACCCCCCCACTTCACCTCTCTGAAAGGATTCCAGAGTACCTGAAACTATGTAAAACTTACTTTCAAAGTTGGAAATGAGGCACCTGATATCTTCTGACAGTGTTTTTTTAAAAAAGAGAATATGGATTTCTAACGCATAGGATAACTGAGGATTATTTTATGGCTAAACTACAGGCAATCACAGGGCTGTTCTCCTTGAAATACTAATGACCCTGAAATTTCAAAGATAGTTCTAGCATTTGAATGAATCGGAATTTCATCCGTCACATCCTTAGATGTCGGATCATGGGATGAAGTAAACAGTGATGACAACTATAACATTATGCTTCCAGAGACCTAAAGTTTGCACAATTGTACTAACGATACCTGTAGCTGATACTGTGCATGTACGGAAATTGTATAATTGCTAGACTCTACCATATTTTAACTCTGGCTCCGATAAAGCAGAGTCTTAGCCTTCCGTATCAAAAAATGTGGAAAATAATTATGAATTATGGGAGGTGCTGAGAGCTCTGCACTTTTGAGAAAACTCCCTCACCTTCTAAGCCCTTTCATATAGATACATAAAGACAGAATCGTAAAGAAGCTGCTCCTTTGAGCGGTCTACAAAACACTTAAAAGTCTGATTCATAAGAGGCACTGAATGAATATTTTAATTAAAAAAAAAAAGCTGACAAAACATTCCAGGCAGTTTTCCTTTCAGCTACAGTAAGAACATAAACCTATGATCCAATAAACCCACTCTATTCTACAAAGAATGTAATTTGTAGCTCATTTCTTAAACCTACTTATTTTAGCAACAATTCTTCCACAGCTATACTGCTTAGCTGCACATCTTTCCATTTGTAAAGTAGTTTCAAATGAGCTTGATCCTACCCACTCAAACAGCAATGATTCGTTTACATTCCAAAGAATCTTGGACTACTAAACTACTGTGTCTGCTGTTCATACTCGTGACAGGACACACATTTGTCTTTTAAACAACTTCCTTTTACGTAAGTTGAGCTATACGTATATATGTACATATGTATATATATATAAAGAGAGATTATTGTGTGGTGTGGGAGAAAAAGAAAAAACCCTCTCCAGCAAGAGCTACAAAGCATTATTCTTCAGTGTGTGTCATACCCAACATGATTTACATAACAAATGGATTTTTCTTAAACATTTTACATGGAACAAGATTATCACAGCTAGTTCAATCTGCTTATTTTAAATTTTAAGTAGTGTCTGTCTGGGTGACTGAGTGATGTGAAGTGGCATGGTTTTTCAGGCACTTCAAAGAAACCTCACAGTTCAGAAAAACTAGTTCAAGTTTTGGATCTGCAGTCTTGAAGACCACATTCTTCTAACCCATTCTCAGGGTTTACATTTTCTTTCCTGTGAGCAGAGCATGTCTCATAACTTAGATGATTATACACCACTATTAAAACAGATATGTGAATTTGACCTACCCAAAAATAAAAAGGAATCTGAAGTTTTATACCAGTGCTCATCTCTCACCTTATTCCTACTTTTGTTTTCTATTTGGTAAATGGGTATTTTGGTAAGCATGTCTAAAAATGTTTAAGTGAGCCTAAAGCATGTCCTTTCACAGCATTTAGACTTTAAGATACAACAAGAGGAAATGCTTCTTTAACCTCTTCGGACTCTGTATGCAGCAGTATTGCTGGTACCTCTTGGAATTCACTGTAGTTTTTGTTACTCCATTAACTGAGGATTAACTCTGATCTGGTAGTGTTGTAAACAACTTTGTAATGCATCTGGAGCACAAAATCCATCAAGATGGGAACAAAGTAGGGTTTGTTTCTGCTTAAACAGGAAAGCCAAAGAATTGCAACACACTTAAAAATAATGTGGTTTTAGGAAACAGGGAATTTTTTTTT